TGGCTGTGTTGGGAGAACAGAATCATCTGGAGACAGGCCTTGTAAAGTTATATTTAACCTTTAGTAATGCCCGAGCTAAAATACACTTATTTCCTGATCTTTAGAGGCTTTACTCAACTTGTGAAATGGTTAGACTCTTTTACTAACCATACAGTTTGTAATATATTTCACAACAAAAACATCCTTGTGTTCTAACTACAGTTATTCCCCACTATTATCTATCTTCAACTCATAAAGAAATAAAGTCTCCTTGTAATCCTGAATTTGCTCCTGCCGTGCTGACAGCGGGATACATGGCTTCCCACCCACGGGCTCCGGAGCAAGCCGTGGACTCCTGGAAGGGGTCTATTCTCACTGAAGATCAAGAAGTCTCTGCAGACAGCCCGCCTAAGAGCTGTCAGGAATGAGAGCTGTAAGAGGAAGCCGCAATGCCACATTAATCACATTTCCGCGAGACACACCCACAGAGCAGTGGGATGGTCATTTCAGAGGCCCAGAGAGAAGCAAGGTTTCGAGCCTGTCCCACGGCAGCTCTAACCGACACCAGCTCTTTCAGCGTCTTTCTTCCTTCTCCTTAATTACACACTATGCCCAGACCCAGAGTCCTGGCTCAGAGATTCACACAGACATTTACTGCTCGTTTGTTTGCCTGTCTCTGCCCAGAGGACTCACCCTAATCTAAGAGAGAGAGAAAGAAGACAAAAAGGAAAGCATTTCAAAGTCGAATTCATCGAACAATTGTAAAATCAGGGGTAGTTCTAGTCCTGAATCATCGCCTCAAGGGTTTAACTTCTAGATTTCTTGTCTCCCAGTTTGACTCCAAAATCCTGTTAAATTTTTATAAACTTTTTTCTTAGATGTTTCATAGTGCCTTCTAATTTTTTGGCTTCATTTTCTTTCATTTTACTTCACCAAAATGAAGCTGAACTTGGTTACCACTTATGCGGTAAAAACCAGTCTGTAACTAGGCCGCTTCAACAAGCCTCTGGTGAATCATTTACAGATGTGAATTCCAGTCTCCATGTCCCTGTATAATCTCTTATTCCAGCCCTCCTCCCGGGTTCGGGCTCCTACACCCTCCTCCCAGCGCTTCCAAACAATTCTCAGATCCCCCTTCTCTCTTCTGTAATTAAATTCGTAGATGGCTCAATTATTCTTTTCAATTTATTTTTCGGTCTTTGTTCTGTTTCATCATGGTAAGTGTACTCTTTAATCCCCGTCACCTGTTTCACACATTCCCCACCCCCCAACATACCCGCCTGCCCTCGAGGAACCATCCGTTCGTTCTCTATAATTAAAAGTCTGTTTCTTAGTTTATCTTTCCCTCGCTCTTTTATTTTTTCTTTGCTCATTTTTTTTCCCCTTAAGTTCCTCATATGAGATAGTACAGTATTTGTCTTTATCTGTCAGACTTACTATATATTCTCTCTAGCTCCATCCATGTTGTTCCATATAGCAAGATTTCATTTTTTTTTAATAGTCGAATAATATTCCTGTGTGTGTGTGTGTGTGTACACATCACTTCTTCATCCGCTGGCCTATGGGTGAACAACTGAGTGGATTCTGTTGTTCAGCTATTGTAAATAATGCTGCTGTAAACATTGGGGTGCAGGTTTCCCTCTGAATTAGTGTTTTTGTATTTTTTGGGTAACACCCAGTAGTGCAATCGCTGGGTCATAGGACAGTTCTATTTTTTTTTAACTTTTATTTTTAAAGATTTTATTTTCTGAGAGAGAAAAAGAGCACACAAGTGGGTTGCGGGGGGACGAGAAGAGGGTGAGGCAGGCTCCCCGCTGAGCAAGGAAGCCTGAGCAACACTGATCCCAGGACTCTGGAATCCTGACCTGAGTGGAAGGGCAGATGCCCAACTGACTGAGCCACCCAGGTGTCCCTGTTTTTTGTTTTTTTTTTCTTTTGTTTTTTAACTTTCTGAGGAAACTTCATACTGTTTTCTAGAGTGGCTGCACAGTTTGCATTCCCACCAACAGTGCGGGAGGCTTCCTTTTTCTCCACATCCTCGCCAACACCTGTTGTTTCCTGTTTAGCCAATCTGACAGGTGTGAGGTGAGGTCTCATTGTAGTTTTGAACTGTATCTCCCTCATGAGGAGTGAGGTTGACATCTATCTTTTCATGTTCATGGGTCTGTTGGTCATCTGGATGTCTTCTTTGGAGAACTGTCTGTTCATGTCTTCTGCTCATTTTTAAACTGGATTACTTGTTTTGGGGATTTGGGATACTAGCCCTTTATCAGATATGTCATTCGTAGAGATCTTCTCCTATTCTGTAGGTTGCCTTTTCGTTTGGTTTCCTTTGCTGTGCAAATGCTGCCTATTTGATGCAGTCCCAACAGATTAATTTTGCTTTTATTTCCCTTGCCTCGGGAGACGTATCTAGAAAAAAGTTGCTATGGCCAATGTCAAAGAGGTTACTGCCGGTGTTCTCCTCTAGGATTTTTATGGTTTCAGGTCTCACATTTAGGTCTTTCATCCATTTTGAATTTATTTTTGTCTGTGCTGTAAGCAAGTGGTCCAGTTTCATTCTTCTGCATGTGGCTGTCCAGTTTCCCGACCCCATTTTTTGAAGAGACTGTCTTTTCTCCACTGGGTGTTCTTTCCTGCTTTGTCAAAGATTAATTGATCATACAGTTGTGGGTTTATCTCTAGGTTTTCTACTCTGTTCCACTGATGCATGTGTCTGTTTTTGTGCCAGTACCATACTGTTTTGATGACTACAGCTTTGTAATAGAACTGAAGTCGGGAATTGTGATGCCTCCAGCTTTCCTTTTCTTTTTCAAGATTGCTTTTCCTATTCAGGGTCACCTATGTTTCCATACAAATTTTAGGATTGTTTGTACTACTTCTATGATAAATGCTGTTGGTACTTTGAAAGGGACTGCATTAAATGTGCGGACTGGTTTGGATAATATGGACATTTTAACAATATTTGTTCTTCCCATTCATGATCATAGAATGTCTATTTCTTTGTGTCATCTTCAATTTCTTTCATTAGTTTTTTATAGTTTTCAGAGTATAGGTCTTATACCTCTTTGATTAGGTTTATCCCTAGGTATCCTATTATTTTGAGTGCCATTGTAAATAGGATTGTTTTATTTTTTTTTTTCTGCTGCTTCCTTATTGGTGTATAGAAATGCAACAGATTTCTGTACATTGATTTTGTACCTTGTGACTTTGCTAAATTCATTTACTAGTTCTAGCAGTTTTCTGGTGGAATCTTTAGGTTTTTCTGTATATGTCATCAGCAAATATGAGAGTTTTACTTTTTCGTACCAATCTAAATGCCTTGTATTATTCTTTTTTGTTATCTGATTGCTGTGGCTAGGACTTTCGGTACTATGTTGAACAGACATGGTGAGAGTGGACAACCCTGTCTTGTTCCTGACCTTAGTAGGGGAAAAGCTCTTACTTTTTCACCATTAAGAATGATATAAGCTTTCATATAAGGCCTTTATTATGTTGAGGGATGTTCCCTCAAAACTTTGTTTTTTTTTTTAACTTTGCATGTTTTTTATTATGAACAGATGTTGTACTTTGTCAGCTCAATCATTCTCAAATCATTTTTTTAAATTTTTTAGAAAGAGTGTGCATGCATGCATAGTGGGGAGGGGCAAAAACAGAATCTCAAGCAGACTCCATGCAAAAGTAAATCTCATACATTCAAGATAAATCTTGTAAAGTTTACTTTCAACAATCAGGACAGACTCTACGAATGACAAGAGGTTTAAAAAAATCAATATTTTAACTTTTTTTTAAAGAGAAAAAACATACACACTGATTTCTACCCGGTATCTTTGTACAATAGCTTTGGTACAGAGATACTAACTTCAAGCTTCTTTCTACCTCAAGAATTGCTTTGAGTTCGACAAAGAACATTAAAAAGAAAAGGGGGGGCAGTAAAGACTGGTAAGGAAGTAGAGAATACCTCCTTAATTCTGATTTTTGTATATTACTTCCTTAATGTATGAAATAGACAACCCAGTAACTAAACAGGCCAACTCCCCTAGAATTAGGAAAAAGAATTAGCAAAGACATGACCGGGGAATGTACGTGCATTTCAGTAAATCTCCCTCTTCAGAATTTTCTGTTAACCAGATTCTACTGAAAAGTACATCACTGAAACATCTCTATGTTCACAGGTCAGTGATCTATCTGGTAAGTTTTCTTTCCTACAAATAAACTGTCCTCTCAATGTCATACGGCGATTCTGCCTTAACTGTGATCAAGAAATCAGAGAGTATGATACAAATGGTAGTTACATGGAAGCTGTGTGTGGGGGTCGGGGGGTGGTGTGAGAGAGAGAGAGAGAAATGAAGCAAGACTGGAGGAAAAAAATCAGAGGTGCTGTCAAATGTAAAAGAACAAAGATTAAAAGTTGATAAAGATTTTGGAAGAGGATTTTGGAGTCAAGGAACTATCTATCCACTTACAAGCAGGGGGTCAGACCCTGGGGAACCAAGGAAAACTTGATGTGTCAGTTCAAGGAAGTAACTGCTCCCAATTTGAAAACTGTTTAATCTTGATCCCCTCCAGGCTGTAGAATCACAGCACTGCTTTATGAAAAATGCTAAAACAACACAGAAAAATACTATGAATTGTGAAATAAATTCCTTTGATAATTCTTCATAAAAAGCAGACTTCAGAAAATTGGAATACTTAGCAGCAACAGAATTTGCAGGGAGTTTAAGACAGATCACTAATTTAGGAGCTATTATTGAAACACTGTATTTGGTTTTTTTTTCACCTTAAGTGAAATTCTACTAATGAGCAAAGCCATAAAGTAAGCTCTATAAAGACAACTTCAAAGGGGGTAAAGAAAAACTTTTGGACTTAATTCTCGTCTGGAAATAAAGCCTTGTTCTGGATAACTCAAGAGGGAAATGATTTATCAAAATAAAGAAAAGTGGTAAATTTAGAAAATTCTTAACCTCCCCACATCAAGAAGTGTAAGCATGAACATTTCACACAATACCATTACCACATACCTGTTTTAGGATGTATTGAAAAAAACCCTTGTGGATTTCCACTTGTAATTTTGTACATCAGCTTGTCATTAGAGCTAGAATCTGGATCAAATGCCTCTATTTGAACCACAGATACATCCTTGGGAGAATTTTCTATTACTTCTGGATAATAAACAGGCTCTGACGTCTGTGGTGCGTTGTCATTGACATCCTCAACCTCTATGTAGATCTCGATAAACGATGAGAGAGGCACGACACCCCGATCCGCGGCATAGACAGTGAGCCAGTAGTGGGAGGTGGACTCCCGGTCCAGTCGCTCTGAAGTCTCTATGACACCTGTGAAGAAAGAAGATGACACATCAACAACAATGGACCCAAGGTCAACCCAAATAACAACTTTCATTTCTCAAGGGCTTATGTGTCACTTACAGCTGAGACACCTTGGACAAGTTGCCTAATATCACTGTGCCTCTGTTTCTTCCTATAAGATGGAACATATGTTCACAGGTTGATTAAATGAGCGAAGAGGCACATTAACAATCAGAAGAGCGCTCGGCACATAGTATCAGCCGTAAAAGTGTTCATCGTTATTAGCGTTAGGGGTCAGGCGCTATGCAGAACACTCTACAAAGAATGTGTCATTTAAGTCTCGAAACAAAGCAGGGAGATGAGCACTAAGAGATCAGCTAATGGCCCGATACTCTGTGCTTCCGAAGATGAAATGTATGACCACTTGAGATTTGCAGGTTTTCCTGGAGGTCCATTAGGGACCTCCAAATCAAAAAGCCATGGCCCAGATCAGAGTCCCCACAGCCTAGCAGCCCCTGCTTCCCACACTGCATTCCCAAGACCACCACTAGAGTTTAGATACGGAGGCTGCAGTGATGCTGCTCCACACATGGCAGTCTGGTATACACACCCTGCAGAGCACGGCACCTCAAAGTCCAGAATAAAGGTTTGCTCAAGTCTCTTGTGCACAGAATGAAACCCTTTAATCCCCTTAGGCTAATGGCAAGACAACCAGTGTGCTAAATAAAGTCTCCCAGGACAAGGTAAGATCACCAAGGGCAGAGGCCACATCCTTCTTGAGTACCAGGATAGCACCTGACCCAGGGCCAATAATATCAAATGAACAAACATGAACAGATGCCTTAACTGAAGTTGGTACAGAAAGTCCCTCCACTGGGACCCAAACTACAACACATTTCCTACTAAATTAACCAGTAAAAGGTGAATTACGGGATTACAAAGAAGTGGGTTAACGTGTCTGTCACGTTCTGGCCCAGCCACTAAAACCAGTCAAAACCTTACTTCATCCCAGGATTAATCACTTCTCAGGGTGATGATAAAATGAAAATATCCATTACTCTTAGGCAAATCCCACCTTTTTATTCAATAGTGTTATCCTGTCCTTTGGCTTTCCCAAAATGTGTCACTGTATTTTTTTCCTTGTGCATTGATCATTCTGAATGAATGCTACTTTTGGGGTTTCAACACTATGGTCCAGTTTGGACTTTGGAAATCCTACAACTCTAGCATTACAGGTTTCCCACTTAATGCAAAATAGTACAGGAAAAAGAACAAACATCAATTTAATCTGCACTGAGAAATGAAACAGTATTTATCTCAACCAAAACATAAATCTGTATTTCTTACTTTTTGATCACTGCATAAATGTAAATCTTTGCTTATGTGAAGTAATTAACACCTCAAAAACTCATTTGTTTTGAATGTCACATCATTATATCGAACACTTCCCAAAGGTTTGTAAGTATAAATACCAAACTTAACTAAATATTAAAATATGAAATAAATGATCATGAAATGAGTACTGCTATTCAGAAAGCATACTTAGTTACAACTGTTTCATTAAGTCTTAGCAAATGCTCAAGATGGATCTGTAATACTCTTAGAAATAATGAACAAAGCCTCACAACTCTTAAATAAAAAGGAGCTAACTGGTTTCCCTGTGCAACAGAGGTAATGGTCAGAAAAGCTCAACATGTTTTCCTTTTTGTCTGTTCCAAACATAGTCTATGCATACCCAATCTGTTCACTAAATTAGTAAAGTTCTACTTGTCTTTAGCCTGAAAGAAGAGCGTCCTTAGTGACCAAGGAAAAATAATCTCCAGTTTCTCCTTTCATCAGCCCCATCAATGGATACACAGAAGTCAGGGAATAACAGAACGCTCGCTATACTAGGATTGCATATTAATAAATGAATGTGCGTATGTTCCTCTGTGTTCTGCCATTAAAATGGAACATATTTCACTTGACAGGAGAAGTGTTAGCAAATCTCAGGAAGATAGCTACATGGTGCTTGTATTCACTTCTTTCTGGTTCTAATACTCAAATCATTCATGCTGCTACTGACTTTTTAAAATTGGGTCTCTCTAAATGCGATCTGTACGCATTTAATGACAATGATAATTACAGAAACAAGTCTGCTCAGTGCTTACTATATGCCAGGCCCTATGATAATGGTCCCACACATACCACCTTATTGAGCCGTTATAGCCAACCTGACTACACATGTGGCCTTATTATGCCCATACCACAGATGAAAACCTCAGATTAAGAGATGAGGACCTTTCCCAGAGTCCTAATAAATGTCAGAGCCAGAGTTCAAACTCCACAAATCTCTAACGTCAGTGCCATCAGTCTGTGGTAGTTTGACAAAGTGTAGTAAGCAAAATTTAATGTGAAAACTCTAAAAAGACAAAAGTGAAACCTCTTATTCATTTTTTTACACATCAGGATTCAGAAGAACTCTATTAAATGTCCATTCACATATAATAGCTTTCTCCAGTTTTGAGGTAGAAGGAAAACAAAGAAAAAATATATTTGCATTTTATAAATAAGTATATAATATAAAATGCAAATACAAGGTTTAAATCACAGACAAAAGTAGATATTTCTTTTCCATCAGGTTCTGCTTCGAGTCTAGTCTGTGAGCACCCAGACTGTAGTGTTCCAAGACACCTTCTGCTGGGAGCTACCCTTTTCTCCCCTCTTGCCTGGCAATTAGAGGACCAATGATCCCCTTCTTTGCATGACCTCCTAGCCACCATTAGGAGGGGGAAATTTCCAGATATTACTAAACAGGTAACTTCCAGTATTACTAAACATTAAAAGTTAGAGAGAAGGGGGCCTGGGTGGCTCAGTCAGTGAAGCATCTGCCTTCCCCTCAGGTCATGATCCCGGGGTCCTGGGATCGAGCCCTGTACCAGGCTCCCTGCTCAGCTGGGAGCCTGATTCTCCCACTCCCCCTTCCCCCTGGTTGTGCTCACTCACTCTCTGTCAAATAAACAAACGGAATATTTTTAAAAAGAAAGAAACGAAACAGCCCCGGTCAAGGGTTACGAGGTAGAAGTGGGATCTGAGATGATCTGACTGCAGAACTCAGGGTCTTCACCGCAGGCTATACTGTCACGATCAGGCCCAGTGTCACGGTCACAACCCCACAGCACCAAGGACACTGGTGGCCACCAGGAGAGGCTACAAGTTTCCAATTGCTTAAGTAAGGGTCCTCCCCACACTTAAAGGATATTCAAAGAGAGAAGATTCAAGGACTCTGCTTGGTCAACAGACTTTCAGGGGCAGTGCCCAAGTACTATTCTAACCGCTGATTCGAATTCTAAGCACTATTTTAAAAGCAGAAAGTAGGTGGGAAAAGACTACATGTATGCAAAGCTATTTTATGTTCTGCTTCTTCATCCGTCTGCTCAGTTGCGAGATGCATCCACGGAAGTCTCCCAGGCAGGAACTTGTGGAGCAGGCATAAAGTACCACAATGAGTTCCACCGGGAACCTCGGAAGAACAGACCGCACTGGTCCAGGACCGGCTAGAAGCCATCTACGTAATACAGCAAGAAAGACGGAGCAGCAGATCTAGCCTTGGCGACCTCAAAAATCAACAATGGTAGACCAGCAACCCCTCAGAAACCCAACAGTGCAACTCCCTTGTTTCTACAGAAAGGTGGAAGGATTTGCCACAGGCAGGAAGCTGAGTAGGTAAAGAGTTTAGAATCCAGAATGAGGCACCGCCTCGGTCAACGGCTCATCAGAACTGATCATTCTTTACAGGGTCTCTACATCTCCTGGCCTCTGAGATGACCCTCAGACCCACTGTCAGGAAGCCTGACCACAAGCAGGGTCCACTCTTCCAATCAAGGTGTCCACCGTCCTACCCATGTTCCCAGTCCTTCCAGGAACACAATCAGTATGGACACACAGATGTCTTTTGCAACCTTCATTCATTCACAAAAGAGAAATCTTCAAAATTCCACACGGGGACTTCTAGTTAGTTCCTTTGACACTGGTAAGCAGCAACTAGGTTCCCAGCCAGCCAAGGAAATGAATCTACGGTTTATTCTCAAAACCACCTCACTCCTCCTTCTCCCATGACCCCGCTTCCCATAACCACTTCCAATAACCAGCTTCCAATAACCACTGATTCCGCACTACGTTATAAATTCCCTTTTCCTGAAACAATTTGCTAAGGAACCATCAACAATTACAAATATTCAAACTCCAGTGTTTACGGTACTTCTCATTAACACATACCACAATAATACCGTACCGATGGGTACATACAGACACCGGCGCACAAACTCTTCCCTGTGGTCTTCCTCATGTCTTCACACTTCTTCCCTTCTTTCTCTGCCATCTCTCCTATTTTTTGATTCCGCTTTCACTTCCTGAGACAGCAACAATGGCACGCAGCTAGATGTAAACCCACGCTGTTAGAGTGAGAGGTGGGATCCCAGACCTCTCCCAGCAGTCCCTCCAGCCAGAGGAGGAGTGACCAGTACTCCAAGAGAAAGTAACAGTGAGAAAGGCAACATGAGAACGACACCTTTCTACTAATCATGACGCTCTGATACACGAGCAGTAGGTGAAGTAGGGGTGCTGCTTTGGGATTCTGCGATGTATATTTTGAGCAAGGAGACAAGTTTAGACAAGCCTGTTACATGCAACACTCAGCAATGTTACAAGGAATCATTCCTTTGCTTTAATGAAACATGACGGAGGCAATAAATGACTTGGCTTCCAACCTCAAGAGTACAATGAAGACATTTTCAAGAAAGGTTGTTAATAAGCTGAAAAATAAGAAAGAAGCCGGAAATCTGGAGCTATTGAAGTAAAAATATTTATCATTCCAAACATACTCTCCAGGATTTCAAAGCTACCACCAGATGTCACTAATGAAACTGACTTTAAATGTGCATACAGTAGAACAGCTAGACTGAAAGGGGAAATAAATACAATGTAATTGTTCAAAGAGCTTGACCAGTGCAGCTGAAAATGGAGCTCACAGCAAAAGGTCTTTCTGG